CAGAGCAGAGAGGTTAAGTATTTAATATGCAAACTTTCCTGCTAACCCTTAAAATGACACAGGAAAGCAGTCAGAGTCCTGGTTATAATCAGCTAAGACAACTGTTTTGTTACTGAGTCCTCCGTGTGCTATTTTCAGAGGCATGTGCTAAAATTTATTCATTACCTCTAAGGATAGCCAGAACCCTTGTTATATCATAATAAATCCTCACTGCTGGGCAAGTGGTGTTCAAGGTTTAACATTTATGTAGTAATACACAGCGACTATAGCTGTAGCAACTAGGCACTGTTTACAAATATTTTAAACAAACTGTACAGGGCTGAGCTAAATAAAGACACTCTTGCTGCCACCACAAACTAACTGAAACAGCTGGGGAGAGGGAATAGCCCTAAATACACCTGGCATAGTATCGGTCAGCGTGCCAAACTCAGCCTAGGGTGGAATACCAAGCAGAACAAGTTGAAAAGGCCAGGGGCCTTCTTGTTGAGAAATCCCTGATACCTTTCTTGGAGACTGTGCTCAGCCACAAGAACAGCCGCCAGTGTTTTGCATCATGGTGTTAACCCACTTGGATAAGCTTTGCCTGGGACTTTCAAAGCATGCAAAATACCTAGAGCTGGCAGCCAGGAACAGGAAAAGGGACTTCACCAAAATAATAAATTTCCTAAGCTTGGGCTTTGCTTCTCCTAACACCAATCTCCTCGCTCAGCTGCAACAGCATTAGCGTAGGGTAAGAAATCAGTGTAGACAAGGGAACCGATCTTTGGAGCTTTAAAACATTAAAGAGAGCCTTATGTGACTTAATAGTTGTGCCTGAAAAAGCGCCTGTAATGACAGCTAACACCAAGGTCAAGTAACAGGAAAAAACAAGAGGCAGACTTTTTCCCACTTCTGACCTTCGAAGACTGAATACCACTTAAGCAAAAATATATTGTAATGGATGCAGCATGCTGTGCAGTACCAACACCATGAGAATGCATGGACCCAAAAAAAGAACAGGCCTGTACCCAGCAAAAGGGGCACTTAAAAGGCCATGCAAATCACACTAAGTGTACAGTCTCTGAACTCAACATGGCCTTAACAGGCTACTTCCCAAAAACAGTTGGTTACTGAAGCAGCCCCTGGGCTTGAGACCTATAGGTCTGCTGCATACCAAGGGAGAAGAAGCTACTGTGTGCAAGATTACATATAGCTCTATGCTCAAACTGCACACTTCTCTCAGAACCCTGTCATGCGAGTTAAGCACTGAATAGGAGCTTAGAGTTTTTAGGTCAAAAGTATAATGCCGTTTCAACATAGCTGCTTTGGTTTGCTGCCTGACTAACATTTAGGAGCCTCCAACTGAGGCACTCAGCGTGCTAGGCACTGTACAGACAGTTTGAGCCTCAGAGAGCTTAGACTGAGGCCTCTCATTGTGCAACGTGTCTGGTCATGCATTTTTTTGGGGGAGGGGGGCAGGATTTGGCTTCAATTAAGGCAACATGCAGCAAGTAGGTGACACACAAGGAATAGAAGGTAGCATGTGGTTATATAAACCAGTTCTGTGCCCATTTTCAAGGTGCACAGTCACGTCTTTGAAAATGAAGTATTTATCTGGGTTAATAAGCTGGAAAACTGCCATTATGACTGAATTTTCTCCACATATAATAGTAATGTCCCTTCTTCTGAAGGCTTGTCCCTAAAGATACCTGCATACTGTGTGTGTGTATGACTTTTGTAGAAATCTAAGTAGAATTTCTTTTGAAGTAAAAGAAACATTGAGGACTGTTGCTCTATATAAGGGCTAGGAATGATTATTATTAAAGGCTTTGTGTTGTGTTCCTAGGCACCTTGTGTAACGTTGGGCCATTCACTTCTATAGTACTAAGCTTTCATCCTGAATGTTGTGAGTTTGTGCAAAGGAGTTTGGTTCACTGAAGGGAGCTAAAGCATCCTCTAAGTACTGCAGCACTGTCTTGGTAAAAGCATATTAGAAAACAGTCCTCAAATGTCTGGTTGATATTATGAACTATGCCATCAAAATAGACCTCTGATAGGATTATGTACAATGGCTCCACACTCATGGCATAACATGTCATCTCCCTTTGTATTATTCCAAAGCCAGTAAATCCCAATATAGCTTTCTTATGGGAGAACGCCTCAATACACCATATTGGAGCAGGAATAAAAAATCTCTGTATGTTGTCATGTAATAGTAACATTCATATCTTCCCTATGACTAACACTTACACTTTATGTAGTTTCAGTATAATGCTCCCACTACTACAGGGTCATTTGAATCAAGCCACTTTGAGAAGATGGCTCCCTAAATACTAAAACCAAACCAACTCCATTTTGTAGACTAAGCACTTACGATTTTTTTTGAGGGGGGAGGGAAATTATATATTTTCTCTTAAAAGAATCAGAGCGCACACACAATTGGAACCCAGGAGGAGGAACTAACCCTGCTACATACATTAAAGGCTCTTTGGAAACACAGTTTAGGTAGGAAAGCCTGCAACTGTGTTCTTACTGAAATGATGATTAAATACTAACCTGTAAAGTACTTGCTATATTCCTGTTCTATTTTTTGAGCGGTCTCAAATTGTTCTTTGGAATGTTTTTGTGTAACCTTGTCCCTCAGAAAGATTGGGTCTTTTTGCTCTCTGTAAGAGAAGAAAAAAAATATTTACTCAACAGTCATTCTTTCAACAGACTCCAGATGAATTACATATACTTATGATTATCTCCACGCCTATGATTAATTTTCAGGCATACAAAGAGCGCCATCTGGAGATTCAGTGTAATAGTACCATTAATATGAAATGTAAGTGATAGCCAAGGCATACGAACTGCTGTAATAGGAAACACTACATAACACTGACAAAAATTCACTCATCAGTGAAAGCCAAGAAACCCTCCCCTCAAACTATTCATTTTAAAGGATCTTTTCAGAAGTCTTGGATCATCCTACACTTTGCGAGAAACACTTCTTAGTCAAAGCAACATTAAAGAAACCGCTCTATAAAAGGACTTAAAATCTCAATGCATTTCTCAAACTTTGCAAACAAAGAAACTTTGATACAAGTTGAGGGTGTGAGGGGCTGGAGATTAGTGATAAACTCTGTGTCTCTTCCAGATCAAAATTTCTCCATCATTTAAGAGCATTTTAAATTCATAGTTCTGATTCAGACCTCTCTCTAGAAAAATGCTTTGTTTTGTGAGCATGAAACAAAGATCTGCTATCACATTTTGGATACAGTAGCAACTGGGATTGGTAGGTAAAAAGCCCTAATATAAACCGAGACTCTTCTAGGTATTAGTGAGTAAAGGCAAGTTTCTGTATGAAATGGTAAAGAGCAGTTAGTCTGCCTCTGCACTGCTGAACTAATACATAAAGCTGGGCCAGTGTTGTGGTGCTATCATAGACACTGTCCTAGTATAAAGGTGGTTTTCAAACACATTTAATTGCTCTACAAGACCTGTGCTAAATCACATAAAGCACATCTGAAAATCCTACTTTTAAACTTTTGATGCCCAAAACAGGCACTCCTAAAGTGAACATACAGCTTATTTTGAGGAGCTTTTGAGAAATCATAATTTCTAGTGTTAACAGTTCAATTTTTCACAAAGTTATTATATTGAACTTTCTTTTCAAAAACAGGTGCTGAGAGCGCTATTGGCCAGTTTTTTCAAGAGTTCAAGAACAGCAGTTTGGTTATCTTTTGAAAATCTGGCCAATAGCTAATACATAAATCATTTTAGGGTTATATTTTAAAAAGATGGTAGGATTTTAACCTCACAACAGAGCTGCAATGCCTAACTCAATCACATTGATAAAGGTTTTCTGATATACTACAATGAAACAGACTATACAAACTATTATTGTGTAACAAAACAAGTGGCCGAAGGTGACACTTCTCACTTACTTGATTTGCTTTGCATTTTTGTACCGAATGAAGATGACAATGGGGTAGATATGAACACTGTGGAGCCGTTCAATGGCATGAGGAGCAATGTCCAACAGACAATGACAGTCCTAAAAACAAATATTGCAATAGAAAGCATAAGCAAACTTATAATGTCCCTATTCATCCTCCAGTGAAACCTTGGTAACTCAACAGAATTTCTGCTTTACATTTATATGACAGGTCATTAAGCATATTAGCAACACCTTTTTCACATAAAATACATTGTAGCAGTAACTACCAAGTGAATTGTATGGGAAAGATTTATCAATGTTTAGGAGGCCAAAAATATACGAACCAGTAAACCCCATTTAGAGAACTACAATCTATTAATAGAATGAGCACTTAGAGGATATTTGTACTAAATTGAAAATGTAACTTGAAACGGATGGAATCAATTAATCCCAAGCGTTCTGCCATAAAGTATTTAGGTATTCAATCATTTTGTGTTGGAACACAAAACAATAGATGAATAGTCTCTCTTACCTCCTAAATAGACCAAATATGCATCTCTACTCCTTAACTGATAAGAATGTATATCTGCTTTGACAGAACATGTTTTAAATCTTTTAAAGTTAGTTAGGGGGTTTGCAACAAGAACAACAACAAACATCTATATTATAAATTACACTTTCATTGTGAAGAAGAGATTGCACTACACCGTTTGTATGAAGTAAACTGAAAAATACTATTTTGTATGAAGTAAACTGAAAAATACCATTTCTTCTGTTTACCAGTATTTCACTGTATAAATAATTGAAATAGTAGCATAAAATGAGCACTGTACACTTAGTATTCTGAGTTGTAACAGAAGTCAATATATTTGAAAACAGAGAAAGTCATCCAGAAATATTTTATACATTTCATAGAGTCATAGAACTGGAAGGGACCTCGAGAGGTCATCAAGTCCAGCCCCCAGCCCTCAAGGCAGGACCAAGCTCCGTCTACACCATCCCTGACAGATGTCTATCTAACCTGTTCTTAAATATCTCCAGAGAGGGAGATTCCACCACCTCCCTTGGCAATTTATTCCAATATTTGACCACCCTTACAGGAATTTTTTCCTAATGTCCAATCCAAACCTCCCTTGCTGCACTTTAAGCCCATTACTCCTTGTCCTGTCCTCAGAAACCAAGAGGAACAAATTTTCTCCTTCCTCCTTGTGACACCCTTTTAGATATTTGAAAACCGCTATCATGTCCCCCCTTAATCTTCTTTTTTCCAAACTAAACAAGCCCAGTTCATGAAGCCTGGCTTCATAGGTCATGTTCTCTAAACCTTTAATCATTCTTGTCGCTCTTCTCTGTACCCTTTCCAATTTCTCCACATCTTTCTTGAAATGTGGCGCCCAGAACTGGACACAGTACTCCAGCTGAGGCCTAACTAGTGCAGAGTAGAGCGGCAGAATGACTTCATGAGTTTTGCTTACCACACACCTGTTGATACAACCTAGAATCATATTTGCTTTTTTTGCAACAGTATCACACTGTTGACTCATATTCAACTTGTGGTCCACTATGACCCCTAGATCCCTTTCCGCCATGCTCTTTCCTAGACAGTCGCTTCCCATCTTGTATGTATGGAACTGATTGTTCCTTTCTAAGTGGAGCACTTTGCATTTCTCTTTATTAAACTTCATCCTGTTTACCTCTGACCATTTCTCTAACTTGCTAAGGTCATTTTGAATTATGTCCCTATCCTCCAAAGAAGTTGCAACCCCACCCAGTTTGGTATCATCTGCAAACTTAATAAGCGTACTCTCTATCCCAATATCTACATCATTGATGAAGATATTGTACAGTACGGGTCCCAAAACAGACCCTTGCGGAACTCCACTTGTTATCCCTTTCCAGCAGGATTTAGCATCGTTAACAACAACAACTCTCTGACTACGGTTATCCAGCCAATTTCAATTGGTAGTCTATTGTTTAACAGTGTGCTTAAACCTAATTAATAATGATTAATTTTAAACCAACATTAATTTTTGAGTTAATCGTGTGAGTTAGCTGATTTATCAACAGTCCTGTTAAAAATATTTTTAAAAACAAAAAAATTAATTCAAACTCGTCAATGCATAGACACTGTTTTTAAGTAATATTAAAAAGACTTAAAAAATCACCAACACAACCAGTTTCTCTACATCTAGAACTATAAACGAATCTTGAAATAGTGACATGATAAAACAAGGTAACTGCATTTATATTACCTAGTTTTTCTTAAGAAAATACCCTGGGAACAATTATTTGAGTCTTTTGAAACAGAACAATATCTGTATTGGCAAAACTTTTTCAGGAAACGTATCTGTGGCAGGGTGTTGCCCTTTAATAGCCCTTTAACGGGCTGAGACCTGGAGTCAGGGGGAAGCCTACCTGGAGACTATAAGAGCAGCTTCTGGGAGGAGGAGAGAGACCTGTCTGCCTGCCTGCAATGAGAGAGGCTTCAGCCTAGCAAACCCAGGCTACCCGGCCTGAGGCCCTAGGATCTGCAAGGAGGCTGTCATGGAGGGTGGAGCTCGCATGGAGGCAGCCCTAAAAGGCCAGGCTGCAAGGAGGCAGCCGTGGTTCGCAAGGAAGGCGCTGCGGTAGGCTGGGGGAGTGTGAGCCAGGGAAGCCCCAGGCCATAAGTCCTCAAGGCAGGGTTGCAAGAAGCAATTGGGCAGGCAGAGTGGGAGAAGAACTGGGGATCTTAGGGAGTAGGGAGGACCCTGGAGGAGGAGCGGAGGAAGAACAATGACTCCCCCCCCAGAAGGGGGCACGGAGCAAGACCGGAGGGCAGGGCCTTGAAGAAAACACCTCACCCAAAGGGGGCACGTCGGCATAGCCGGTTACTTCCCCAAAGCCACCCTGAGGGAAGAAGCCGTGCTGAAAGTGAGTCGAACCCACTACATATTATATAATAATTATCTGTACATTTTACAGTGAACTGTGGCACAACGAAGATACCATAAGATGACAACCACCTTCTCTGTTATCTCCTTTATCGAAGCTACCGTTGTCACGTCAAAATGTCCACTCCTCCGTTTGTAATCTATAAACAAACAGTCTTTCACTCCCCGTTCAATGGCTTGTTGGGAAGCTTTCATCACTTCTGTTTCAAAAAACAAAAACAGATTCTTAGTTCATTTATATTTCTTAACCACAGCATAAGATTTACAGAATATGCTACGGTTCTACATCTCTTCCCCTCCGCACCCTCCAGGAATTTTTGTGCTACCCTTTCATCCAGTTGTTAGGCCAACATAGCACATAGCAAAACACACATTAGCTCTTATTCCTTGTACACGTACCAAGGGGACATCTGCAAAACTTTCCAGGAGATTCTTTGACTAGCATGTCCTTCACAGCATCAAGTAATGGTCCTAGAATGAGTACAGGTCTGGGAGAGGTACATTCCACCTTCTGTACACGCTGATAAGCCAGACTCACGGAATCTAAAGAGTAACAAAAACAGTTATGTACAATTTAAAAATGTTTTTGTGGTAACGTAAATTTTTAGCAACGGACAAAAAGCCTGTAGTCCTGTTGCGAGAAGCTGGAATCGTCAGGTGCACAAATACACAGCTGTCTCACCCCATTAAGCAGTCTTTGTGACTTAGCATTTTGCTTAGTGTTAATTACGACATGTGAACAATCCTGCCACTTCTACAGATTAAGACAATTTGCAGGGGATCAAAGACATTTTCACTTGTAAAATGCAATTGTGTTTTCAATTAAGCCATAAATGAGCATAAGCCGGGGTGGACAAAAGGGCCTCCGCAGGCTGGATCCGGCCTGCCAAGTGGGTTCATCCAGCCCTCGGAGGTCTAGCTTGTGGCTCCTGAAAGGGTGGAAGAAGACTTGGCGTGCTCCTCCGCTCCCAAGCCCTGACTGGCCTGTGGGCAGAAGGGGGAGAGCACAAAGTCTCCTACCACCAAGGGCATGGGCGCTTTGGGGTAACCCCAGACTGATCATGGTATGAGGGTGGGGAAGCAGGGAAGTATCCCATCCCACCCCACCCCTTCTGCTTGAGGTCCCGCCCCTCCCAGAGCTGCCTGGGATCACTTCAAAATTTCTGCAGTGGCCCCTGGCAAAAAATTATTGCCCACATAAGCAGTATAGAATTCAGTTGTTTGCTCAGGAGCTGTGACTATTCTAATGATTTAGACTCGTCAATTGAGACAGAAATCTCTCAAAGGAGGATTTAAACCATGCTGGTGAATAAATGTCAAAAGGCTTTTACCCCCTACCAATCCTGCTTAGAAGGTACAATTTTAATACAGGTTGAACCTCTCTAGTCCGGCAGGCTCTGGCCCAGCATGATTTTAGCCAGACGTCCACTTATCATGGATGTGGCCAAGTTTCCCGTGGTTCCATCAAGTTTGTTTCCACCCACCAGTCCTGGATCTTGGTGTCCTATGCTGTTATTTAGCTCTAATTTACCGCTAAATGTTTTCTAAAAGCCCAGAATGTGGCAGAAGTGTTGGTAATACTATACAATATTAACTCCCATGGTTCAGCAAATTCTCTGGTTTGGCAATGGTCAGGACCCAAGCATGCCAGACTACCGAGGTTCAACCTATATTTATACATTTCAGGGATGGACTTATTCTTTGTAAATTAAGAAATTACAAGCACTAATCTGAGATGATCTGGTTTCTTATTTAATGCCTACGTTGGTGCCTGAGGACAATAAACGTCATAGGACACAGAGTATACTTCAGTGTTTATATGCAGACTAAGCGGCGTGGAGGGGGAGAGGAAATCACATCTCTCTTAGGAGGTTTCCATAGCCTTAAGAAAACTAAACATAACAAAAGCACTTGCCATCCAAGAAAGGAATGGAGTCGGTACTGATTGTATCGAGAGCCAGTAAATCCTTTCCATCTTTGGAGCCGCTACGCTTGTGTTTATGCTTTCTTCTAAAGAAAGATCTTCGAGCTGCTGCTGACAAAGTCTTAGTGGAGCTGTTTTCATCTTTAGCCTCCGACATACTGTGTCTCCTATAAAACTCCTGGTCCATCCTACAGTGAAATGGATTGAATAATTGTATTCAGGTTGGCACAAACACATGAGGTTTTAAGAGCCATTGTTCACAACAGAGGAGAAAAATCTGAACAGTATGAAAAACTTGTCTAGGACAAATGTCAAATCATCTAAAGCGGCATCAATAGAATGTCCATAACCTGAAAAACTACCCCAAACTACTATTGATCAACACTGGAAGAATATAGCCCATGTATTACATTTAGGTTTGATTTTCTGGGTCTCTCTTCAAGGACACTAGAACATAGGTAAATACAACAGCACTGGAAAAGCTCAGTAAGCTGTGCCTGAGAATTTTGGGGGACATTATTTTCAAGGTAATTAGGTCCCTAATCCCTTGTGAAAAATCCATCTCCTGCTACATACACAAAATTGAAAGTACATATTGAATCACTGTGGTCCGGGACTCTTTGGTCCCGCAACATACATGATATAGAAGGATCACGAATGTTGCTGGACTAGAGAGTCCCAGCAGCAGAGGTTGCCGGCAGTGAAGAGAAGAGCTTGCTGGTAAGGCCAGTGGCAGGGGCGCGATTTCAGATTTTGGAA